AGTTCCCAGGATTCCCTAGCACTGAGTCAGGACAGTTAAAGCGGTCTCGAACTGGATTATTTCCGCAGTGGGTTTCCCAGTCTGAGTGGGGATTTGACGTTCAAAATTGCAGTTTGTTGTGAGGAAATGATCCTGTTTGAGACCGCTTTAATAACTGCCCTGGCTGAGTACTAGGGAATGCTGGGAACTGTAGTTTATTGTGGCCTCAGAGCTATCTTTGACACAGAAAGCTAAATGTCTCACAAAACTACAGTTCCCAGCATTCCCTACCACTGAGCCAGGGCAGTTATTAAAGTGGTCTCAAACTGGGTTATTACTGCAGTGGTTTTTTTGGACCTTTGAGGCACATGACAGCAACAAAAGGGACATGTGCTGCTACAAGTTCAGCCTCCCTTATATGAAATGCTTGGGCCTGAAAGTGTTTGGGGTTTTGGAATATTTGCATATGCATCAGGAGAGATGGGATCCAGGTTAAACATGGAATCCCCTTGGAGTCATGGGAGTTGTAGTTCCATAAGGGACATGTGCTGATACAGGTTGAATCTCTCTTATCCGAAATGCATGGGCCTGAAAGTGTTTTGGATTTTGATTTGCCTCCCCCCCTCCCCCCAGGGTTTTTGGAATATTTACATCTATAAGTAATTGCAGACAGTCTAAACATGGAGTTATGGTAATTAATGTTTCCTATACACCTTATACACATAGTTGTTATGCTTTCAAGTCAATTTCAACATATGGCAACCCTATCTTGTGGTTTTCTTGGCAAGTTTCTTCTTTCTTATTGCCATTGCCATCCTCTGAAGCTGAGAGAGTGTGACATGCCCAAGGTTAACCAAGGGGTTTACATGGCCGAGCAGGGATTCGAACCATGGTCTCTAGATTCATAGTCCAATGCTCAAACCACTACACCACACTGGCTGTATGCACATAGCCTGAACGTAATTTTATATATAATAATTTTTAAAATATTGTGCATGAAACAAAGCTTGTGTCCATTGAACCATCGGAAAGCAAAGGTGCCATTATCTCAGCCACCCATGCAGACAATTTTGGGGTATTTCAGCATTCTGGATAAGGAAGACTCAAGTGTGTGAGAAAGAAGTTGCTTCAACTTGTGGCCCTCCAGATGTTTGTTGTTGGGCTACAAATCCTGCCATCCCTCATAATTACCTGCCCTGGTTGAGGCTGTTGGGAGCTGTAGTCCTTCAGCATCTGGAAGGACACAAGTGCTCCACCTCTGTAAGTAAACCCAGTATATGCAATGATATATAATCATTAGTACTCACCTTAGTGGAGTGGGAATAATAAAGCCCTCCAGATTTTAGACTGCAACTCCCAACATTCTTCATGAGCCAGCAGTGGTTTCAGTGTTGGACTACAACTCTAGAGACCAGTGTTCGATTTCCAGCTTGGCCATGAAACCCACTGGGTGACCTTGGGCAAGTCACACACTCTCAGCCTCTCTGTAACTCCTTTAGCCGTTGTTTGTTGTCTGTTTGTTTTGTTTGACTTGTTTACTCTGTTTGGTTTGTATTTATAATTTTTATACTGTCAGTGTTAAATGTTCACTGTTTTTAATTCAGTCTGATTTAGGGGGGTTGCAGACTGTCAAAAATAGTGTGAATTCAGTCCACTTTTAGGGTTAGGGTTAGTGCTAGGGAATCATGGGAATTGTTATTTTTCTGAGACATTGAACCTTCTTTGTCAGAGAACTCTAGTGCCACAATAAAATTCAGTTCAAATGATTCCCTAACCTTAACCCTAACCCTAAAAGTGGACTGAATTCACACTATTTTTGACAGTCTGCAACCCCCAATTGCTTTTTAAGGGGGGAGGAGGGAATAACATTGTTTTAGATTGTACGTATTTTATTCTTGTTCACCGCCCGGATTGGTTCGCCATAGGGCGGTATACAAATAAAAATTATTATTATATTATTATTATGGCAAAAGCTCCTCTGAACAAACCTTGCCAAGAAAACCCCATGATAGGTTCTCCTTAGGGTCACCATAAGTAGGAAACAGCTTGAAGGCACACAACTACAACCACAACCCTGATTCTAACCTTTCCCTGCCCTCTGGTTTTAGGATTGCAGTACCGTGATGTTTACGATTGTATGGTGAATTTGTAGACTTAATGTCTACCAAATCTTATGCTACCAACTTTTTTCTTTCTCTCAGTTAATGTCAAAGGTGCTACAGTACTCCTTTGCAGCTCAGTTTTGTGTTCATGCTTTGCTTTGATAGAGCTCTTCTAGGTTATATTCAGCCCTGTGTACATTAAAGATGGTAAGCAGAGGTTTTGAAAGTAATTATTTGCAATTATAGTTCCAAAGCACACACTCCTGCGGGTAACGGTTTGTAAAAGTTCATCTTTACTTGAAAGTAACAAACTTTGATGCGTTAAACACCATACATACAAGCTTCCAACCTGTTGTATAAAATGCAGTCTCCATCCACCTACGGTACTTCACCTCAGAAGTAACATGAGCCAGCATTTAAACTATATGTTGATAATCTACCATGGAGGGAAGCCACACCCTTAGCTATAAAAGTGATTAAAATGTTACAATTATGCCACAGAAAGAGTGAACATTTCAGGAGTAGCCTTGTTGACCATTAAATAAAATACAAAATACTCCCATTCAATGAGTGAAAGTATCCCTTGTTAAGTTACTATTGTAATACAGTTGGCCCTCCACATTTGCGGCTTTGACATTTGAGGATTTGGTTATTTGCAGTTTTGATTAATATGTTCTCTCTAGGAATCTCTTAAGTCCTCCAGCGCAATTCTGCTGGAAGTTGACCATAGAGTTGTGCCAGAGAACCTAAAAGTTCATAGAGAAAACATGTCCTTCCATATCCACAGATTCCACATCCATGGATTCAACTATCCACTGCTTGAAAATTTCCCTCACCCCCAAAAATCCTAAAAGCAAAAGCAAATGATTTTGCCATTTTATACAAGGGATACTGTTTTACTATGCCATTGTATATAATTGAGCATCCAAAGATTTTACTATTCACGGGGGGACCTGAAACCACCAGTGGATATCAAGGGCTTAGTGTATGTACAAATGCAGAAGTGTAAACATCATATCACATGCTGTGCTGGAACTGGGGAAAGAGAGCACACGCTGTTTTATGTAGCCTGTTTCAGATATTAATGATGGACACAAGTTCAGACAGTGCTGTATTTGTTCCTGAGATATGGTTTCTGTTGATGTTTCGTCTGTTAATGTGTATATGCTTTGAAAGGTGTAAGTGGGTGAAGAAAGAATGAAAGGAAGAGGGAAAACAATTTTGTTCCTCATTTTTTTTAATATTCTGGAGTGTTTATATTATAGCAGGGTTGGAGATCTTTGACTCTCCAGATATTATGGACTTCAACTATCAGAAAGTCCAGCCATGATTATCAATGTGGTAAGGGATTTGGGGAGTGGGGAATGCTTGAGCTTCCCCAAACCTGTAAAATAGAAAAGGCACAGTGGGGAAAATCTCTTGTGGAGGGAGATTTTTCATAGTAGCAAATGAATGGATCATTTAATTTGTAAGGATTTCTAAAGCAAATCTTCATTTAATTTCTCTCTCTCTGCTTTTCTTCCATAGGATATGAAGTGACAGGAGTTTTTATGAAGAACTGGGACATCATGGATGAAAAAGAAGTTTGCTCTGCTGACAAAGACTGTGAAGATGCTTACAGAGTTTGTCAGACGCTCGGCATTCCGTTTCATCAGGTTTCCTATATAAAAGAATATTGGAATGATGTATTTAGGTAAGGGAATTGTTATTAACTATTTGCTTAAAAAAAGCTTTGCATCTCAGTGAATGCTAATTGATGGTGGAACTCCCAAAGTTGTTTAAACCTTCACAAACTCTATGAGGTTCCACTGCAGAACATTTAAGAAACATAATTCTGGCCTGCTCTCCCTTTATGCAATGCCTTATCCTATATCAAAGCTTCAGGCCTCTCTCACTTTGTGGGTGCAGGTTTTTCAGTCATGCAGAGGTGAGAGGGGCATGCAGCCAACTTTAGAAACCCTCCAAAAACTGGAGAAGCTCCCTTGCCATAGTGAGCACAAGACAGAGACTATCAAAATAGTGATGGTGTTAACCAGAAAGGAAAATTATATTTTGGTTTGTTATAAATTTGAATAGAAACAAAATTTAAACAAAAAAATT